TTTTCCATTGGTTTTTATTGGTTTTCGATTGGTTTTTATTGTTTTTCTATTGGTTGTTCTTGGTTTTCTATTGGTTGGTGCTGCACAGCCCTGGCTCGAATAGCCCGGTACGTGAAGAAGACAACGTGCAAGGTGTGATGCCTGTGTTCCTGGAAAGTGGATCGGCAAAGTTGCTGTAGAGATCAGGGGAATTAGGAGCTTTCATCGCATTCACGGCCTTTGTTGCCTAAAATCTCAGTTCGGCGCGTTCAAATCCTTTCGGGCACAGGGGGTGACCGGGGGAGCTCGGAAGCCCATAGACGCCTGAAGCCACCAAAAAACGTCCGATCTCAGGTCGAGCACAAGCCTACCTATGGTGCCTGAAGATGGTGTGTCCAAGGCAGGGTCTGGAGTTTGAAAGGCTTTGTGATTCAATTTGTGCGGCTTAGAGCCTTTATGTTTTTGTTGATAGGGCCGAACCAAGTCCTCAGCTTTGGGTTTTGCAAGGAGTTGGAAGATTTGGAACGCTCCAGGAATCGGGAACCATCCGCGATTCAGAACCAGGCCGTTTAGATGCCTGGGGAACTATGTTATCAGCTCCCGCTTCAGAAACTATGAACATAACCTATCGCGTCTCAGAAACTACAACTCCAGCTCTGAAATGCCCGAACATCAGGCAAATCGACTGGCGCATATCTGCCCATCTCCCGACCCATAGATAAGCTTTTCCGACACCTTTACCTCACAAATCGGCCTCCTGAAGTTCGACACAGCGTCTGAGTTCGAGGCTGACAGTGTCCTGGGGGGCGATGCTCTGGTGTTAGAAGGTCAGGTTGCCCTCCGGGCCCTTGAGGGTTTGAGGCTCAGGCTCAACCCGAAATCATGGGGGATCTAGGATTTCCAAAAAGGCAGCCCATAAGCAACGCAAGGTGACGCTGCCTCTGGTGCCCTGTTCTCGGGGTTTGGAGCCCGCGACTTGATAGCGACTCGTGTTTTTGGGCTTTCCGGGTGCAGCTTGGGTTTCAAGGTTAGGGCAAAGAAAGAAGCAGCGTGAGTGTATCTTGCCGCGTGTGCGCACACCTCGTCTATGCAGGCTATTCGCCGTTTGAAAATTGGGGTCTGCCACACTCCGGAAAGAACAACATGCCTGCCCTTGGAGTTGGGTTGTAGCCAGAGGGCATCTCCACTTCGAAATTGTCGGGGGACACTTTGACTTTCGAATGCTCCCGTGTTACTCGAGGCAGCTTTGGTTTCGTGCATAAAGAGTTCCTCTTCTTTTCCGACCCAGAGCAGAGGATCCTAAACCGTGGTCAGTTGGGATGTTCCCCCTTACTCACAGTCCTTCATAGGGGTTCTAGTACCCCCTAAGCCTAAACCCTAAATCCTAAACCCTATTAAGGACTCTTAGTGTAAGGGGGAACATCCCAATTTGTCAGCACAATAAGAACCTCGAATCTTGCGCCCACAGGTCAGTGCTCCAGCCTCGCCATCGTGGCGAGGCCAGGAGGTCATTTTTTCCCCTAAGAAGGATTTAGGGTTTAAGGTTTAGGTTTTAGGGGCTCCCTGCCTTTCTGTAGGAAGTCGGATCCGGGCTGCTAGTTCTTGGAAGTGTGAGGTTCAGGGCAGATGGGCGGTCGACAATTGATGACCCCATGCTTATGCTCTCACGGCTTATTAAGCGTGACGAGTTGCTGCATAGGGGCTTGGTGTCTTGCGAACATAGCTTTGAGTTGAAAAGGCTAGGGGTATGAAAAATTCTTGAATGGTGTAAAGCAAATGACAATTCCTTTGAGGAAATTGAGCGCGAGTTTTTCGAGGGTTTTCCATAGAGTTACAGTCTGAACAACCAGTTCGACGGGATTTTGGCGCTTGGCGGTTTTGGATTCCACCTTCCGATCCGTAGAGATTGGAGAGTTTTTGTCTGCTCAAGCATGAAAGTTGGGAGACGTGAAAAGGCTTTTGCTTGATTACGGCTCTCTCTCTCTCTCTCGCTTTCTTTCTCTTTCTCTCTCACTCTCTCTCTCTCTCTATCTCTCTCTCTCTCTCTCTGTGTCTCTCTCTCTCTCACTCACTCACTCACTCTCTCCCTCTCTTCAATCTCTCTCTCTCTCAGTCGCGCTCTCTCTCTCTCTCTCTCTCGCTCTCTCTCGCTCTCTCTCTCGCTCTCTCTCTCTCTCTCTCTCTCTCTCTCTGTCTCCGTCTCTGTCTCTCTCGGTCTCTGTCTCTCTCTCTCGCTCCCATATGCTGCAAAATGAATTCTTTGAGCGGTTTCTTTGCATTTCAGAGGTTTCCTGGAAGCTGATCTGATTTTGTTTGCAGATTTGGAAAGGTACCGGTCTCAGATGTATCCGCGGGAAGCATGGAAAACGGGTGGTGGTGCAAGCAGGTGCATTGTTGGCGTGCGTAACGGCCTTTACAGCTCGGCTTTCTCAGCGTGATCCGATCAGAAGGAAGTTGCGCAATCTGATCTGAGAATACAGTTGTTTGTAGGGTCAAACACAATGCAGCTCGACCACTTCTCTAAGTCCTACACCGCAAACACAAGGTGTTACAGTGCTTGAGCTGGTATCTTGGTGGTGTGTTTGAGGACAACTGGGATTGGGGGGGTGGATTGCTATCTGTAGGACGCCAGTCTGCCTTCAAGTCACCACAAGTCTGCTCCGCTCAGCTGCCCCGCAGGGATGCGCATCGCTATCGTGGTGAACGGCTCCCGCGGGGACGTGTGGCCGTGCTCGAAGTTCAGTTCCTGCCCTGCTTTGACGCAAACCCGAATCCTGTAAGTTTTCGTTGCCCTAACCTAGGCCGCCTCAGCTCTTATGAGCAGGCAAAGCCTTGCTTCCCGCAAGGTTCCATGCCATGGAAGAGAGCCTCATCCGGCTCTCATATGTGATATGAGCTAGGGTTCATATTAGGCTGCTATTGGTACGTGCATGTATGTTGTTGAAATAGAAAGAATAGTGAGTGTACGCATGTCTCGTCCTTTGGGAATTGCACTTCAGATGCAAAGCCCAAGTTTAAGTCATTTAAAGCGCAACCCCGCTTCCAAGCCCTGCACCTAGTTGAGGCAGCCAATGGTCGCTCTGGCCCAAGAACTTCAGGAACGGGGCCACGAGGCTGGGGGCTCAGGGGGTTACCAGTAGAGCGTTAAATGGTTTGGGGCCCTGTAACAGAAAAGCTATGTCGAACATCCGCACCCTGAGCTGGTGCTCCAGGGATTCTCTGCGCCACACGGTATTGGGATATCTTGGGGGGGGTGGAGTACTCTCGAGATTCTCTGCGGGATCTCCGGCTGTGGGATTCCTGCGCTTGGCTCTCGGGACTTTTCTGCAGGGTTCTCTGCACTCTACAAGCTTTTTTGACACTCCACGAGCGATCCTCTGTGGAATTGGGGTGTGAGCACTCCACGATACTCTGATGCTTGGGCGTAGCATTCTCTGCTGGAATCTGTGGCGGGCACTCCACGAGTGGTATTCTCTAGATTAGTGGTGGGCAATCCAGGGATTCTCGGAGGAATTCTCCGCAAGAGGATGCTCTGGACGATTCCCTATGGATGTGGGAGTCAGCAGACCAGGTGACGTGGGCGAGGAGAATTTGCTGGTTAAAATCGCCGTTTCCGGCCCTGGTCCTGTCCCTGGGTCCTGTGGTCCCCTTGTTATAAATTGCTGAGCAGGCTTCGAAAAACAACACACATCATGGTCCAGGCAGCGTGTGTCGCGAAACAGGATTTCCCTACCCCTGCTTGCTCCGCACGATAGGCACTTTTTGCGTTGGCACATTGCTTGGGAAAAATGCAAAAGATGACGAACAACAATGTTCTCGTACCTTCTGTTTTTTCTGGCCTGGATTGCGCAACTTCTGACGTTCCAACATTCTATTGGTTGTACTTTTCTCATAAGGTCTCTTCCAATCGCACTTGGCACGTCTCGATGGGATGGCTTCCAAACCACACACCACCTTACATCTGTTGATTTGTCGGCATCGATATTGGATTTGGGCGGGTGACTTAGTTACTTTGGTTTCGTGCTTAGGCATTGCTGAGCTTCATGTAGATTGTGTGTGTGTGTGTGTGTGCATGTAAACTGTTTGTGGATGGTATCTTCGGTGGTTGCTCCGACGTGATCTCCACGTGAATCGACTTCCTCCTAAATCCCCATGCCTAGGCTTCAAAGCCTGGAAGTTCAGAAGCATAGACCTAGCTTGCTAACCTCCAACAAGAACGACCGGTGTTGTGAAATAAGGTGATGCTTGCCCAGCACTAAACGAGTTTCTTCTCTTGCGATCGATGGTTGCGTTTGGACCTTGGGGCCTTTGGATGTAGCATCCCATGTCCTGGCTGATTTACCTGGTGTAACCACTTGCCGTGACGATGCAAGGAATGTGGAAGGGCCGAGCTTGAAGTGCAAACCCCAGTCAAGAAATCTGGGACTGGAGGTTTTAATCCTGACCAACGCAGATTCCGTGAGTTTCTGCAACTCCCACGGTGTGGATGCTTGGCGAAAGCGGTATGCTGTTATTGCTGACACCTCACCAACAACATGCAGGTAGGCTGTCCCATGGCGTTTCGAAGACAACACGTGGCCCCCAACCCTGTGGCAGCAATTTCAGGGCGGTAGCAGCGGCAGTAGAAGCAGGGTACAAAGTATTCGGGGTCTACAGAGTATACGGGGTATATAGGGGTACATGGGTACGTAGGGATGTTAAGGCACGTTCACATAGAAGAAGGGAGGGGGAAGCTGGGGACCGCAGGGCAAAGGTAAATTTTGGAAAGTTTGTGAGCACGCAACCCATGCCTCCTCTTAAAACCTTGACAAATGCTCAGGATGAGGCAGTGCGAGATGTGTCATCTGACGTCTGAACCATACCACCATCTCACGGAACGCCGAGGCATGGAAGTTGACGCGTTGTCATGTAGAGAAGTACGAGGACCAGTGCCAATGGCCGTAGTGGTAGGCATACTCGGACTCCGCAACGGCATGAGCTCCTCAAATTGTTAAGGATACCTAGATGCCCAAACATGCAATATGCTGCGGGATGCTCCCAGAACTTTGAAGACATCCAGCCTAGCCGTGACTTCTAAGGACGCCGTCTCTGTTTTTGCCGACTGCAGTGCAGTTATCGAGCAAAGCGGTGGCATGCATCCTGTCTTGTCTATTGCTGCCAAATCGAAACTTTGGGTTGAAGGTGTAGCTTATAGTTTGTCTAGCAGCAGCTATATTCCCCAATGTGCACCAATCCCTGCTGTACTGTGCTGTTGGCCAGCAAGGCTTAGAGAGCTACACTCATCACTGCCCTTCTCATGGCCCCAGGGGCTGCCGCCCCCTCCGCTTGCCCCGCTTGCTCCGCTTGCTCCGCTCTTCCCGCCCGTACTGCCCTTCTCATGGCCGCATGGTCCCCAAGGGCGTACCCTCCTCACCCCCACCCCGACTCCCACCCCCACATACACCCTGCCTATGGGTCCCTTCCTATGGCCCCATGGGCTGCCGCCCCCTCCGCTTGCTCCGCTTGCTCCGCTTCGTACCCTCCTCACCCCCACCCCGACTCCCACCCCACATACACCCTGCCCATGGGTCCCTTCCGATGGCCCCATGGGCTGCCGCCCCCTCCGCTTGCACCGCTTGCTTGACTCCTCCCCGCCCTTCCTCGGCACCCTAAACCCGAGACCTAAAGCGCAATCAGCCTAATTCCTGATCACACTGATCACACTTGTGGGGAGGGTGGGGTCGGAGGAGGCTTCAAAGTACGGGTTCATGAGGGCTAAAAGTGTAACATATGGTGGAAGTTTGCCGCACATGACGGTGACAAGCAGATTGTCTCCTACCCTGCATCTTGACAACACTGGGCTTGCAGAAGCGCCGAGGAGTGGCAGTTTCGTCTCGGGTGTTTCCCGTGCGAACTCTACGGCCGCACAGCATCCTGTCGATATCCACAAGCCGAAGTAGGATTTGATGGAGTTTGGGACTGTGGGTGCGCCAGCATTGAGACACTTCAATCCGTGCCATCATTGGTACAGTTCAGGAGGAAGAATCCTCTAACACCCAGTCTCGTGCCTCAAATTCCTGAAGCCCACGCAATGGATTCCGTCAAAAGCCCCCAGATCTGAACCCTCCGAATCCTGAATCACGCCCCTTGCCCCCATGCGCCCTTAGGTGGTTGAAATCTAATCCGGGCGCCTGCGCTCCGGCCAATGGCTGCCTGCAGGCGCAACACCGAAGCTTACCCACTTCAAACCGGAATAGGCATGTGAGCGCCGTGATGGTGCGTCGAAAACCCACGGTGCTGTATTTGGCTGTATCTTTGTATAGAAGCAACTTCGGGTCGAAGAAATATTCGCAATCCAGTGCGTGCTGGCGAAAGGGGTCACGAAAGGGGCGATGCTTGCTTTGTGAATTTTGATGTTTGCGGATTTGACTCGGAAACAACTCGAAAGGGCCGCGTGAAAGGGGGGCCGTAAGGGGGTGTTTCAATATTGGACAGCTCGCTGTAGAAAGTTGGACCATGGAGTCCAGATCTACAGGTTTGGCTTCGTACTTCATCCGTGGACATGAAATACCGGCATGCAAGCAGAAAAATTTAGCTTTGAGGAGGCATTTAGAAATCCAACGAGAAATCGGATGTTTTCTTCATGACCGACAAGGGTTGCACATCCCTAGGCTTGGTGGTCTAAAGATGGATATCGACATGGGAAACGAGCCGGAAAACACTGAAAAGGACAGTCAAGGCTAAGCACCGCTTGCATAAGAGGGTCTCAGGACTTCCAGCCCCAGTTGGTGGTCTGTGGCACCCTGGCCGTGGGCCGCTGGGCAAAGCCGTTGAGCTCTTGGGTTCGGTGCGAGGTTTGTTGTTTAAGGGTTCTTCAAGGACTGGGGTGCCAGATGCTTGAGATAAGCAATTGTGGAGGTTTGTTTCCTTTATTATTGGGCTCCAAGACAGCCGGTCGGGTTGGGACCAGAATCAGTGGCCGGTTCGTTTGGATTTTGGGATTTGCACTGCATGGTGGAGGCTTCCTCATAATCCGGCACCCGAAGCCTCAAGAGCCCTGCGGAGGCACCTGTATCCGATACGAGGTGGGGGTGCTATCAGATGCGGGAAGCCCGACACTTTGGTTCTTGTTGTCGGGTTCGGGCGCACCGGTGTCGGCTTTAAGGTTTGGGAGTGGAGTGACAAGGGGGTTGTTTTGGCATTCCGGTATCAGGGGTGGGTGGGTTTGACTTCAGGGTTAGGGCGGTAAATTAGGAGAGTGTTGCCTAGGCACTGAATTCAGGACAGATCGGGCACTGCCTGGGACTGCTTGAGGTTTTGCTACATCTTGTCGTTAGGTTTCTGGGCTTGCAACCCAGGACGTGCAGCTGAGGTATCGAGGTATCCTGAGCTCTCAGGGTCTGAGGTTTTATTGTTTCAACACCCTGGATGTTCCATTTACTGTTTACTACACCACACAAGACTCCGCCACAACTCTGAGTTCATTCATCGCTTTAAAGGTGACGTGTTGTTTCTGGCACAGCTGCATGCACCCTTGCGCCTGCATCATTCTGATCTGCACGCCTTGCAGGCAGCAGCGTCAGTTCCCGTGGTCTACGTCACTTTACCGGCACAACTCATTTCAGGGCTTCGGATTCTGGATTGAAAGTTTTTGACACTCTTGATTTGGGGCCTTCTCTCAGATCACGTACCTCAACTGCTTCAGATCTCCATCTAAACTGGGATAGTAATAGGGGGGGCGGGGTACTATAATCCCTACTAAGGACTGCTAGTATCAGGCGGAACATCCCAACCTCTCCCTTATTTCTTCTTGACCCCCAAGCTTCAGGTGCACCTGCAAATGACGCCTGCAAGGGGCCAACTCAAAAAACCCCAGCATCCTGAAAAGACATGGAAAATCGGCGTTTCAAAAGGTGAAACTTCGTGAGCAGGTGGTCCTTCGCTTGTCCTGGCTTTTGGGGGGGGGTATGGGGGGGGTATGGGGGGGGTATGGGGGGGGGTCTTCTCCGAAAGGCCAAGTCCTGAGTCCGAAGCTTTCAAGTTCCCAGGTTTTCCTCTGTCGAGAGCTGCTGGACTTCTTCGGTGACGTGTTGCTCCTGGACACAGGTTTTAGACAATACGTCGAAAACAGAACGCTCTTGCGCTTCATTGCGCTTCATTGCGCTTCCAGTCTCTTTTCATTTTCTAGGCATGTCAACAGAGGAGGGGACCACGCCAAACAGGACATGAAACCCTAAGCCTCCCAAATCTGCGCAAAGCATGTGCCAAGGCAAGTCCAACCTCATCGTCCCTGCTTCCTGGCCACCTCCCCACTCCTCGACGCTGGGCCTTCAGACTCCCTGTGTTGCAACCTGTCCATGAGCTTTAGTTTTCACATGATATCCCATGTGAGTACTTCCGAAACCCAAAACCCCCTTTCTCCCTTGAAGTTGCTGCTAGAGCCTGGGTAACCGCCAGAAAATTTTGCAATGGGATCTGCTGATACTCCTGCTCCTGCTCCTCCTACTGCTGCTGTTAGCGGATTGTGTTTCCCGTGGAGAGCCATGTCGAGCTTTGTCCTTCGTCTTGGCTTGAGAGCGGAACTTCCAACACATGAGGATTGCGAAGTGCTGCCGGCAGCGGGTCAGCTGAGGCAGCTCAGGAAGCCCTAAGCCGCCTAAGCCACAATCCCCAAACCCGACAATGTGGATGTCCTGTAAACCTGAAAGCCTAAACTCTGAACGTTGCAGGAGTCTGGCACGTGGATCGAACCACGGAGCTGTTGAACATCCGATCCGATCACTGATCGCTTCAGAGCATCCTTAATTCAATATTCCAATTCCAAGCTGCAGAATCCGTTGCTACAGAGTTTCAAGTCTCGGCGCATGAGCCATGCGATACTTAAAACGCCCTGCGAGCCCTGGGAACTCACCAGGAGGTACAACACACCGGATGACACAAACGATCATCAATCCCTGCAGGCAAACGGGCACATGGGATCTGCCGGACTCCGCAGAGGTCCCGTTAAAGCTGCAGGAGTGCGAGACGGGAGGGAGGGTCTGCACGCATGGTGTAGAACTCAGGGCATAGAAGGTAGGGCCTGACTTCGGGTGAGACGACTCCAGCATTGCCAGGATTGCTATCAAAAAAGAAGTTCGTGCCCTGAACCCGAGCCCAGTCTTACCGAGTCTTAGGGCCAAACATGGAAAGCAGCGCCTTTTGCGACACTCCGCAGGACTTCCTGGATGCCGGCGAGGCCCCTGTGGCCATCGGCCACTTGGCTCACAGTTCGGCAGTTTTTCTTGATAATTCCAAGCCCCTCACCACTCTTGTGTTCTTGGAGATGTTTCGCTCCTAGTTCTGAAGTGGGGTACAAGTGAAACCCGCACATCGTGTGGAGAACCTGTACACCAGAGTATATGGCTATCAGCCTCTTGAACGCAGAGACGACATTCAGTAACGGGCGTATGACTGTCATGAAAGCTCCACGAATCTTTTGTGCCTGACAGGGCAAACGACGTTTCCAAAGCTAGTATTTCGCTACATGCGCGGGATCGCTAGTGCCACAAGCCATCCAACTGGCTCTTTCTGAAGGAAAGGATGTCAAAGAGATGACCAGGATGCCTCTCCTACCCCAGAAACAGTGCACAGGATGCTTCGGTGCTGCCTGCTAAGCAAGATGCCAAGACGAAGCAGAATCAGCCACAGAGGGCTTACAGCCTGCAGCCCCAGCCAAGCACTGAAAGCAGCCGCCCGACTGCCGCGCAAGGGAGCGCGTTTCCGCCCTTGATAGGGTTTTAAAGGGCATATGAACATAGGCAGCTGTTGCCTACCCATCCATCCACGGCTCAGCTGTGAAAAGGTCTGACCTTCAGCTCATAGTGCGCAGCTTAAACAGTTGAAGCCCGCAATGTTTCACACCCTCATTTGCCACATAGGATTAAAATCGGTTGTGGCAGTCTAATCCTGCCTTTGCATTGTGTTGCCCTGCATGCCCAAAAACAACTGTCCATGAAGTTCCACCAAAACATTGATTCAGTTAGGCTGTGCGATGACAAGCGAAGCATACATCACGTGTCAACATGACACCGCCACAAACAGAGGCTCAGAACAGCATGGCAAGCAGGGCGAAACCCATATGCCCACCAAAACACAGAGGTCAGTGAATTGACCAACTAAATTGAGAGCCGCAGTCTTATATTGCATTGCGCCCGATGATGCGGTCGAGCCTTCAACAGTACGTCATGGTAAACTTGCCGCGCCAGTAGTTGAGGCTAGTGCTGCCAACCCCCTGTTCCCAGAATATTTCATTCCGCACATTATTATTCCCACATTATTATTCCCATGCTTCGATACATGTCAAAACCTGGGCAGTTTGAGGCTGGGGCTCCATGATCGCCCAGGGAATGCCGCGACCGGCCATGCTGGGTCTTGCGGCTCGGCGCAGTTTCTGCCCTGAATGCACTGCAGCGAGCAAGACAGGGCAGAGTTTTCAACCCAAATCTCTGTCTCCGTACAAAGTAATGCTCAGCCGGCTCGACCCCGACCGCCTGAAATCTCCCCCGCCATCTTGATATCCTCCTTGTGACCTTCCCCTCAAATGCCCGCCCTCTGAAAGTTCAGCTTCGAGAAGGCTTTGAGAAGGCTTCGGATGGAGGGTTCAAGAACTGTGGGTTGCTTTCCATGGAGGCGTCACTACGCTTCACCTCAGAAGAGCTTTTAAAATTCGATGCAATCTCCTTTTTCCCCCCAGGAAACTCCTGATGACGAGGGAGCCTTCTAAGGCGATCCGTGCTCTGCGGCAGCTTGGCGCCCGCGGCGTCGTCCTGGGGGGCTGGGCGCGGCTGGAGGAGCTGGCCGCCGAGCTTCGAGAAGGCAGCACACAAAACCAACGAGCCGGGTCGGTTTGAGTTATCTGATTACACAACCCTTTCTAGCCCAAATTGCAGCCTTACTCTACATGTAGCTTTGTAGGACCCCCCCACAAATGCACCCCAGTGACCTGGAGATGCTACCGACCACGACTCTGGGAACGCTGCGCCATGGCAGTCCCAAACTCTATAAGCCGGAGCCCTCTGTGGCTGCAGCTCTGAGTGATTCCACAAGTTCACTGACCCGTACATTGAGAAAAGATTGAGAATTTTGAGAGAGAGAGAGAGAGAAAAAAAAAAAAGAGAGAGAGAGAGAGAAGAACACTACTAGTGTTGCCTTTCAACGAGTGCCACATCCGTGCAGCGCCTGCCAGCCCCAAACAGAAAGAAACTCTTCGATGTCCAGTTCCCAAACGGGTCCTGAGAGAAAAAACAAACCTCCAAAATGAGAAATCCGTTTAAAGCAGAAGACACACAGATGTGTGTATAGCAAGAAAAGCTTCTCCGGATCTTCTCTGAGCAAGACAAAAGGCGGCTCCATAGAAGCTGCTGTTGTTCGGCCCTGGAAAGGCCAAGGACATCGGATTTGGCTCAGCTAGGGGCGAAGGCTGGGAAAAGACGGCAGGCATTCCTTGAGCGGCGGCAGGAAGGAATTCAGGAGCGTCGGATTTGGCCACGGGCCAAAAGGAAGCCAGGCGCGGTTTTGAGCGAAGAGAGGCGTTGCAGGGCCGAGGACAAATCATGAACCTTGTAGGCGGCTCTCAAAAAAGCAACAACTTTTTTTTTTGCAAGAATCTCAAGCCTGGCAGTTGCGGGCAGCTGTGGGCAGTTGCGAGGCGGGGCGGCCAGAATGAGAGAACTCAACACCAAAGGACCAAAGGACCAAGGAGTTCTGCAGCTTCCCAATCAGTTCGCTTTCCTGGGTTCCAGAAAAAGGGCTCGGCAGCGGCATCTCCAAAAGAACCACTGGTCACACTGGTCCAACTCTGTGCCGTTACGGAAGGGCCTCCAGGGGTTATAGGTGCCTTCAGACTCCAAAGTGTCCGGCGTGCACCCAGGGCGGTCTAGAGGCACAACGGCCAAGTGACACGCCCCAATGTGAGGATTCCCACTATCCCCACAAGAAAATGGGTTTGGGATACTTTGAGGTGGGGTATGAAGTTTGAAGGAATTCGTTTTGTTCTGATGTGTCTCTCATTTGCCAACAGCCACGTTTTGAAACTCAGCCCCAATACCTGCGTTCAACAATGTTCAACCTCCAAGCCCCAATCCCAATTCCAAAGCTGCCATCCCAAACCCGCAATTCTGGCAGGCAAGTTGCCGAGTATTGGCGAGGATTGGAATGATCTTGAGCCTTGGTCTGGTAGTATTCTCCAGTTTCTGGCTTCGGGTTTCGAGCAGCCTTAAACTCAGCTTCGTTCTTCACTTCTTTGAAGGCCAAACACGCCTTGATTGCCCATCAGCAGCGGTCAGCTTATGGGTTTGCCGAGCAGCTCCCAGCTGGGTCTGTTTTTTTGCCGGGAAGGGGCGGCAGAGTTCGAAAGATTTGGCCCAAATATACATATATAATATAGATATGAGTCACGAGTATCTAAATAAGACAAATTCATATATATTTGTTTTTGACGCCGGCAATCCAGCCGGAAGCCAACACCGTAGCTCGCCGAATTTTGATTGTGTGGGTTTGCTGGGTTGCTCCCAAACCCAGGTTATTCTGAACCCCTAAAGCCCAAAATGCCACCTCGATCCACGAAGAAAAGACGTTCTTTGGCAAAGTGAGGTTTACTGTAGGGTCTCAGATACAAGCAGTATCTCCTGAAACCCTAAACCTTGAGCCCTAAACCCTAAGCCTTAAACCCTAGACCCTAAACCCTCCCTGTCAGAGCCTCAGCAACACGGGGTGCATCCTGTATCGATTGATAAGATGAGGCGCGCTACGCCACGGAAAACATTTGCTGCGTCTCCGAGGTTCCTGGCACATGAGAAAGGTTCTTCGAAACCCTGCACAATATTATTACTATTCTTCTTATTTTTCCTCTGCTAACTATTATTCTTATTTGTTTGGACTTTTGGGGCTTTGAGGCCCTCTACGCACATTCAGAGCTTAAGGCTTCGCTTATTTTGTGTTCCGGATGTCGCTTACTTTGACAGCTGGCTCAGCGCATTGACTGGAGCTCATTCCGTCTAGCTCAGGAGGCATGTAGGACGCGACACACTTGAGAAGAATGCTTGTTGCAAGCGACGCGATGGTCAGGCTGTTTACGAGTTATTGGTAAACGGCACATTGCAGATTGTAAACGGCTAGGAAGATACCTGTGAGACGCTTAGGCTTTGCTTCCTCATGCGAAATGCAGTGTGCTCCTGCAAGGTTCAACACTATGTGCGTCCACGCTAGATACACGGAACCATAGCTGTCGTTGCAGTGAAGCTGCCAGGCGCCGCACTCCTGGCTTTTTCCGCGCTGCTCATGCATCGTCCATCATGGTGGTGTGGGCACAACGCAGGCTGATGGGGGTCAGGCTACTTCGGGCTTTTGACCATTCATGCTTGTCCTGACACACGCTGCGTATTGCTCCTTGTTATTATTTGGATCCATAGCTGAAGCCTGAGTTTCATAAACAGAGCGCAGCCCATTGAGGCCTTGTAAATGATATGACTACTATGACCGTTTGAAGCCATTCGTCAGATGCGCTTGCTTCCAGTAGAAGCCCTACCTAAAGATCTTCTGAGAGCGGCCTTCACCTAAACGTTCTGTGCTGCAGCAGTCCGGAAAAAGCCCTCCGTGACAGGGATGGATTACGAAAGATGTTCTGAACTCGGGGCTGATCCCCAATCCGCAGCAGTCTGAAACCCAACATCCCGAGCTCCTTCGCTTTTTGTAGGGTCCATGTATCACCCGCCAAGAAGCTGAACCCTAAGCCTCACAAGCCTTAGGCCGCCGTCCGGTCCGGCAAACCCTCAGCGCCTAGACTTGGTCAAGAATGGCTTCGAAATTTCGGCTTGAGGCATTTCGGCCTTTAGGGCCTTTCGTGCGCTGGGGTGTGAGGCGCTTCGAGTTATTTCGAGGAGTTGTAGGACATTGTAGGACCCTGGTTGTTGCTTTTGTCTGTTCTAGCTTATGGGAGTGGGGGTCCTAAACACGAGCTGCGACGGGTTTGGGGTTTAGGGCGCTGGTGCTCAAAGTGCCCAGGCGTGCGCCCCGCGAACATCCCCCCCCAGACGTGGGTTCCCAGACCACCTCTTTCTTCTGCGAAGAGCTAGAACCCCGTCATTGAAATCGAGGTCTCCCATATAGTGAAGTCCATGGTTTGCACGCACATGCCTTCGAACAGGTTCTCTGTGCGGATGTCGCCCCACGGAATTCACCCCCATGAGCTCCAACACCTCAAAATGAATGGTTTGCACTGCCAATGCGAACTTATGGGCATGATGGGTGCTTGATGATGCTTGCACATCTTGGCATGCTTCAGTTGCTTCAGGTCATCACGCCCATATTCGGAGACCAGTTTCAGAATGTGTCATTGCTGCAGGAAGGGATGATGTGCGGGCTTAGGATTTCGGGAGCCTTTTCATGGGATGTAGAGTATAGGGATTTGACTCAGTTCGGGTACGTTGAGTTGTAGGTGAGAGTCCACTGGTTGAGTGTTTCGGGTAGGCTGGGTTGAGGACTCGAGCACCCCAAACGTGCAAACTCCAAAACCACAAAACCTCTGCCCCAAACACGTGGTAGTGCACACAGAGGCCGATGTCTTGTGCGTGCGTGTGTCGGTCACGTAGCTTTGCTGGTCCTGAACCATGAACCATGAACCATGATCATGGACCACCCCAAAATTCTTTGGCTGCCGCGGAAGCTTTTAGCACAAACCTCGCAGATTTGGCTTTCGAAATACAAGCCTCTCCAAAACGTAACTGGAACCCATAAATTCTCACATGGCTTCAAAAGCAGAGACTTAGTCGCTCGAGCTTTAGCCCTTGACATCCATGCCTGGCTTCAAATTTCTGGGCGAACAAAGCTGCATCTCAGCGTGAAAGCCAGAGCTTGCACCGAGTCTCTGAACATCAAGCGCTTGGGCGTGGGTGTTGGCTTTACCTCGGCCTTGCCGGAGATCTCAGCCACTCGGAATCCCTAAACCCCCAGAAGAGTTCGGGGTTCAGCCAATAGAAGCCCCAACATGCCCCCTACATGTTGGTCTCCACCTCCGAAGACAAGCATCACAGTCACCCAGAGTGTAATCTTTTCCTTTGAGCTGTTCATCACACTTGTCTTATCATGCGGTCGCTCTTTTGTTGTTTGATTTTGGGGCGTTCTCTTTGCGCCTTACGAGTCAAGTAACGAGCGACAACAAGGAAGAAAGCATAGAAGATGAAGAGGAGCATAAGAAGCGTTCAGGCTCAACATGTACTCCTTTCGCTCGTTTCGTTCGCCCACGATGTCTGGCCTGAAGCATCAGCGCGTCTTCTTTCCGTCACAGATCCAAGGTTGACTGTGAACGAAGACAAGGATGGCATGGTTAAACCCCGTAAAAAAAAAAAAAAAAAAAACAGGAACGCTACCAGCAAAGTCCCAACAAAGTGGTGGAGATGGCGACGGCGACGGCAACGATGATGATGATGATGATGATGATGATCATGATCATGATGATGATGATGATGGTGATGGTGATGGTGATGATGGTTCATGGTGCCTGTTGGTGGCGATCCAAAAAGCTGCGACGAGGCATAGACCTCGCGTTCCTCAGAATGTGCTCTCGTGTGCTGCCAATGGGAGACGAAGATGCGATGACACCTGGGAATGATGCGGGCGCGCGCCGGCCTCTAAATATGATGCCGAGCTCCAAAACTACTTTCTGGGGAGTTCTGGGGGTTCTAGATGTTGATCTGTGAGGCGCGCACGCGCCTCTCAATTTGGGCAGCAGGTCCCGTTTCTGTCTGTCCCCCTAAACTTCTTGGGGGCTGTTGCTGCGGCCCTGGGGTTGAGGACTTTCGCGGACGAAGCCAGGACCAGATTTGGAAGAGTTTCCCGTGCTGCCCGTGCTAGGTGTTTTGTTTTGAGTGCTGCCAAGGTCGAGAGCTTGACTGACGCCATTCGGTCTGCCTGGAACATGTCAGAGGCTTCCCGCTCTCGTGGTTTTGGAGGTTTTGAATTTATCTGGGCAGGGACACGCAGTAAGACTAAGAATGATTCATTGGGACAGTGCGAGTCAGAGAATAAGCGCCAAAGCCTTTCAAGCCTGCACGTCAAAGTGGAGAAAAAAGTCGAGCTCTCCTCCAAAGCCAAAGCTCTCCAGCAATCTCAAGTTGGGGGGTTTACGAAAATAGAGTCTATATTAGGGGTCCCCTATTTTCGTAAACCCCCCAAATTGAGGCAGGGAGAGACGTCGCATGCGTGTTAAAAGGCCGCTGCCTCTGTGGGCACCCGTGCCTCCCGCGAGCGAGGCTTGCAGGATGCTGCGCAGGCGGGGAGATTGAGAGCTACTACGTCTATCCCTAGTATTATGAGTTTAACTACTATGATTATTCTCATTATGATTTTCTTCTTATTGTTATTATGATTCTTATTATGAGCATGAGTATTATTATGATGATTATTATTGTTACTATTAGTCTTAGTAGTATTATGAGCTTTGCAGAATGACGGGGTCTCTGACCTGTTGAAGATGTGTTCGAATTTGATTCGAAATCCTGGCATCTTGGGCTTGGGGTCTCTAAGGTAAGGCGAGAGCCGCGTTACTGGGCAGAGCACGACCCAGCTGCCGTGTTTTCATGGGCACACGGGTCTTGCTGCTGAATGCCATGTGGTCCTCCTTGCACAAGTAGCCTAGCTTAGGAGGCTTTTGCCAGCTTCGGCTTTGGATCTAGGCATGTTTACAAGTTACTTGGGACCTGATAAGCAGCTCATGAGTTTCGCAGGGCTGCTGTGGGGGTACCTGCTGCTATAGTTGATTTGCATATCATTTTCAATAGGATTCGCTGCGTATCTTTATGTTTGAGAAGTTGAATTTTAGACAGCAGGGTGTGTATTTCTACATGTATGCTACCCCTCCCCCTTGTTATCTACCCTTTTTGGTGTCTATGCCTGTTGTTTTGTTTTGTTTGTTCTCAAGCGTGGTTATGTAATGGTAGCTTGGTCACTGATTTTTGTTCATAGCCAATGGCCTCTAGGGCAAATATGTGTCGAACCCTGGAAACTTCCTCTCAATCATATTAGATCACCCCCCCCCCCCCAAAAAAAAAGATGTATATATATATATATATATATCTGGAGGTGAGCAACTCAAGAAGCTGCTTCTGCTATTAACCGGCCAGTCAGCTCCAAATCTTAGAGTTGGGGACAGGGGTTGCGAGTACAAAAAAAGCGAAACTAAACAGTATACCTTGTCAAGACTTATAGTTAACCTAGCGAATCAAACCTATTCAGTCATTTTCATGTTAAACTTGGGGGAAGTAGTCTGAGTATAATCATCATAGAATTAAACTTAAGTCCACGAATAACGATGCCAATGAGCTTTCACTTTGAGCGCCAACACAGCATCGGTTGTCCCAGTAGCCGTCCTTCATGATTTAATTTAGTCTATATTATCGGCCATCTGCCACATACGTAGTTTGAGAGATTTACGCGAGCAGCTCTTCACATGAGACATTGATGGAATCGACACACACCTAATGCCACCTAACGTCGAATTTATGCACCACTTTCAACTCCGCCGTCGTACTGCGCCCCGATAAGTCCTGCAGCCCGGTCACCCCAGCCCAAACCCAGCAGCAAGGCAGAACACGACTTTGGAAATAGGCCGGGATCAGAGCAGTTCGAGGACGCTCCAAACATTCTTAAGAATCTGACTGGATCCCTAAATCCTAAACCCTAGAAACCCTACAAACCCTAAACCCTGAAGCCGACTCCATGGGAAGAGCTTGCTTCAAGGCCCTCCAGGAGTTCCTGCTGCTGCAGCTTCGGAGCGGCCTTTGGGACCTGCGCCTCCGGGAGCTGGAGGAGCTGAAGGATGTCCCAGCCAAGCTCTGAAGGCCCTAAAGTAGCACCTGAAGTATAGGGGTCGGAAGAATTGCTCATGGTCTTCCCTTCATCATTCTACTTGAGGAGACTTTGAGGAGGAATTTTTAGCTTTTGGGGTACTCTAATTACCGAATTACCTAAGAAACAGCTGGAATTAGCGTATTTGCAAGGGTTCCAAGTTCAGTATAGCAAAGGCCTAAGCAATACCTATTAGTGCCCAAAAAGGGCCGAAAACGTGGTAGTGAGGAACCAGGAGGATGCACGAGGGCAACGAAAATCTGTCGAGGGCTTCAGGGCACTTCAGGCTTTCGATGCGCGGACTCTCGAAGTGCTTTTTAAGCATTGCTTTAAGAGCCTGCTGCAAAGTCAGAGCAGGCTGGCAGTTGAGAATTGCTTTGACATGCGCCTATCGGACCTGGGCACCGACTCAATCGGCTCCCAGCCTCGCCGACTCGCTACGCGAAAAGAGAGCAGGTCATGGGTCTGATGGGTTGGGGTTCAGGACTTCTATGTCAACAGAACTACAATCATGAATGCTTTTCAGGTCAGTGCACTTGCGATGTATATGTTTGAGACCATCCAGCGTAGGATGGTTGATGCGGCGCCCTTGCGTAGCCCGATCTGAACCTGAGAGAAGATCGCGAAGCGGTTCTTGGACAACTTCGGGGCAAGTAATAGCCAAAACCTGCACTTTTCCATCTGAAATGCCACGCCTTCTATGCACGCACGAAAGGATATCAGTGGGATGAATGACCTGTCAAGAACCCTATGGCTTTGCTTCTTCCTCCGTTGAAACCCCTAATATGCGGACCAGCTCAGAGGAGGTGAAAGCTGCAAAGATAAGGTATGTATTCAGCAAGATCCGAGCTTAGATAGGCGCCAGATGCTCCCAACCCATCAGTGAGATCCTTGTCATACAACCCCAGGACCCTGAAACCCACTACCCCGAGGCCATGCTGTGGGCGGAGCGGCTGTACGGAGTGCACAGCGCGGATTTGCCGGGTGCTGGGAGGGACCTGTTGCCCCTGCAAGTACTGTCACAATGCGAAGGAGCAAGCTTCAGACACAAGAGGCGTGGCACACAGGGAATTAAAAAAAATGCCCAAAACTACGGAGAACAACAAGTTCTTTCGCAAGCGACATGACATTGTGGCGAGAAGCAAGTACAAGCTTGATGTACCCGAGACTTGCTGGCTGTTCCCGAACCGAGTACGAAGAAGCATAAACTGTTGCGCAAGTGAGATGACCATCGATGACATAGAGAGCTTGTTAAAGCTTGCTTTTCCAAAAGCACGTACAAGCTTGTGGTAGGTTTAAGAAGACACAACTTGGGCCCTCAGTTGCTTGAAAGACAAGGTTTCCCACATGCCAAGATTCGTGTGTCAGAAGCCATACAAGGTTGAGACAGAAAAGATGCGGGGGTTGTCGCACGGGGACACATTGCGAAGCTTGCCGTGCTTGCCCCGAACGGGCACAGAGCAAAAAAAACAAACAAGCTCTTTCCTTGAGTGTGATTTGGGTTCGGCCGGTCCACACTAACAGTCACCACCAGCAGGCCCACAAATACAAGCACCCGGGAAATGCCAAAAATTGACTGGGATTCCTGGTGCTATCCTGTGCTATTCCTGGTTCTATTCCTGGTGCTATTTCTGGTGCTATTTCTGGTGCTGTTTCTGGTGCTATGTGACTTGCAATCACCATCAGCAGACCTACAAGATATAGCACCCGGTAAATGCTAAGCTGCCAAAATTGACTGGGAGTCCTGGTGCTATTTTTGGCATGTGTGTTACAAGGCCACGGCGTTATTTGACTGTTAGTGTGGACCGGCCGAACCCAAAGTGTGATGACATGTCATGATGCCACAAGTGAAGTCATGCACAGCTTGCAGTGCTCGTTTTTTCTCCACTGAGTCTCTGCATCACATGCAATGCAGCTTGCCCATGAGCCCAGCAGCACCATGTATGACCAAGGCCTTCCAGCTGTAGCGAGATGGGCTGCGGGATCCGGGGCATGGGCAGAAGGCTCCAGCAACTCGATTTTCGACACTGCAGTGCTGACGAGGGACCTACGCAGGAAGAGGTGTGAGACATGAGGCAAGTGAGGACATATGATCAACATGACCCGTACTTTGCCGATGGCTGCAACAATGGTGTCCTCTTCAATTTGCCATGGTTTCCCCAGTCGAGGAAGGGTTTAGAGGCTTAAATGATACATAGCCGCTTCGGGTTCCCCCGACCCACACAAGCTGAATGCCCACATCTTACGGTCCCACACCCCAGGGCTTTGAGGAATTTGGCTCACTCTGGTTAGAGCAGAAGGGTCACCGAGAGCAACGTACCCAAAGAAAGATCAAACGTATTCTATATTTTCATTCATTTCAGCACCTGTCGTTCTGCTTGATCCCAAAGATGCAGCTGACGCTGGGGAAGGTGCATGAATCGGTGAGTAGTTTTTTTTGGTACTGAAGAAGGGACAGCAGCACTCAGATTCCACTAGATATGGGCTAAGTGTAGGGATCGTAGTAGTGTCTTGCGGTTCCATTGTAGAGGTGCTCATGCAACTCAGCCTGCACAACGTTCCAGAACTGCTGCTCCGACTACAGCATCTTGGCGGCAGATAGCTGTGAGGAATGGGGGGTTTGATGCAGTCCACACGAGAAGCCCTTGATGCAATTGGTCAGCGCCTTTATCATGCGGAAGGTCCTGAGGCAGTGGGTGTCCCACATGTTGATTCATTCTGTAGTGTTCCGGGGGTCGTGAACATGCAGAAGGTGGTCCAACAATGCGTGGACTCCTTCGCCCACTCGCAGTGTAACAATCCTTGCAAGAAGCCCTGACAACCCTAAATCCGAAAGCACCGCCTGAGCCCTAACCAGCCCTAGACCTGAAATTTTGAGCCCCAAACGACCCGAACCTGCAAGCACATATTGAAACATTACTTACATGTTGACAGGCAAGCGATGTGGGAGCCATCCATTTCGGGCAATCATTAGGGATGCTTCGCCACAGTTGTCGCGGGACTCCCTGCGGAATTCTCTGGGGGTGGGCACTCCAGGCCTTTTCGACGGGACTCTTGCGAGATTCTCACTCCAAAAGTACTCCCTGCACATGTTTGGACCCTTTGTGGTCTTCACTGGGCACGGAGGGCGGGAGTATGGTTGACTTATAAGATGTACAGTGTTGTAAAAGTAAAGTCTAACAGCCCCACACTCTAGGGGTGGGGAATCTGCTCCATGAGGTCAAGTGTGCCCTGCCTGAGCCGTGCCGTTGCACTCCACGAGCCCTGATCACCCAGATTGGGGCTTGAAGGCAGCAGCTTGGGGTACTGGCTGGAGTCTAGGGTTCGGGGTTTTAGGGTTTAGGGTTTAGGGGCTCATACGACTCAAAGCTTTAGGGATTTAGGGCTCCGAGAAAGATTTGCAAAGTTTCTCAGCTACACCATTGCCGAGCCAGTTGAACAAGAGCTGGAAACCGGCTGCACCAAAGGCTGCGCAATAAATCGTAGACACAAATCGTGGAACCCCAAACCTCGAGCCAAGTCTTGGTAACCAAGGCTTGTCATCTTGCAGGTTCAAAAGAATGAACGGCCTGTGCACGTTTTGTGGTTGGATCTTCGGCCCCCAAACTCCCCCTAACCTTCTCAGCAGAGCGGCTCCCGTGGCCCATATCCTGACAGTTGTAGACATAAAGAAGATGCAAAGTTGCCTGCACGAATGGAATTGTCTTAGAGCCAGCTGATACTGATACTGCGAGCACCCACACACTTCACCCCCCCGCCCTAATCACCACACTCCTCCGAGATTGGGCGAGACGGGTTTGGTGCTTGGAGCCCTCTGCTCAAGGCGCTTTTCATGGTGGTCCATGATTCGAATTTGTCTTCAGCAACGCAGCACAACGCAGCACAACACAGCACAATGCAGCCGGCTCGGCGTTTAAAAGGCTCTGGGAGTTGCATTGGCCATGCCAGCGACCCGCGCGAGCGGCTCCCGAGCGCCATGTTTCCCCTGTGTCCTTGCCGCTGTTGCCCTTTGTCACCTTTGCCATTGCTCCTTGGATTCCTTGGAGGGTCTTGCAACTCATTTCTCCCGAGCCTTGCATGCTGCATAGGCCCCATGGAAGCGCTCAAGAATGAGAAGAAAAATCTGCTAAACGAGGCACCATGAACTTCGTCGCTGGCGTTGAAGGTGCAGCCAGCAGAGGTGCGGGAACTGCCAGGTGCGCCACGGCTCTTGCAACCGAGCGCCTCCATGACCCGACTGCACGGGATGAATTCTATGGCCAGCCCCTAAACGTTGCGAAGTACCTGGTCGATCTTCATGACGCCAAGGCGCCACCCCACTGCATTGCAACCCATTCCCAACCACCACAAGCATGGTGACATGTTACACGTGGTTTTTGCTACCAGTACTATACAATGCCGCATTCAGGAGCTTATTGAGCGTACGCATTAAGAAAACAACATGTCAATGCACATTTGCAAGATTCTACCGGGGTCCAGGAGGTCTCCCGCAGTCCCGCGACTCGCATCGGTCATGTCGATAGCATAAGGTTATGAGTTACAGAAATGAAATTGTTTCACATAACTTCCCGATTGTGAACATGAGCTTTGGAAGCTTGACTGCAAGATGTTGTTAGTTTGTGCATTTCGACCCACCGTGTAACTGATGAACTCGTGGTTTGCATCATTTGTGTCAGTTCTTCTACTTTCGACACTTCATCTGAGAGTTCGGCCGTGAGGCCGGCAGTGATGCCAGGCAGCGGCTAAGAGTGAGTCAAGAGCTTGGAAAGAGCATATGATCTAAGCTTTTTGGAGTTGTCACGTTTGGAGCTCGACCTGGCTTTCTGGTCCATATATACCACTGCAGGGCGCACACGGTTCTTTCGGATTGGTGTTGCGTTCAGGGGTTTGGGGTTAGGGCTGCAGTCTGCTGCAGTTTAATGGAAGGTCTGGGCCAAAGGCCGTGTCCTGAGCCAACTGCAAAGTGAAACATGAAAAACTATTTGTTGCTGGACGGCTGAGGGTCCCTAGATTAGCCGTGGCAGAGAGCATCTGACTTTGAGAGGAGACTTTGCAAACTACCACAGAACATTTTCGGGATCGCCACAGATTATCGATGTCCATCGCGCATGAAAGAAAGCGGCTCACCCCGGAATACAAGTCACGAGGAAACCAGCCAACCGAGGCACCGCAGGGGCCATCACTTCAGAGCATCCGGAGTCGATAACTTTGCACTTTTTTTGCGCCTCAAATGTCGACCTCCTGATCACCCGCTGTTGGTTTGGACAGGGCAACCTGCTTTCTCGCAAACTGGTTACTGACCCTGGACTAGTAAGAAGCCTTGATCTGAAAGGCCAATGGCGCAACTTAAACTGCAAGCCTTCATATCTTCACCGCCATAACGGCCGCGCTGCCTTGCAAGAACAAAGGTGCGGTTGCCACCCAAGGACACTTCTTTGCTCTTGAGCAATGTGAAGAAGAACTTATTTGTCATAGTTGCGGGATGACCCTGCCTGGACACTTTTTTTGTTGTCGTACCGAACACTTGCCATGTTTGCAAACTGCCAGGGTCTTTTGAGACTTTGCTCCATGAAGCTGTTTTCCCGCTGCAGCCCAAATTCTGTGTGAGGCGCCCTTCGACTTTTGCGGTGGCATGATGTTCCAACTGGTGTTGTCAGACAAGCTCCGAGATCACCTAGAACAGGCGGGGCCAGTTGTTGTTTTTTTGTCGGATCCGATACATAAAGAACAACAGCGCTGCATCTCGATGGCTGGACGAATCCCAAACAAAAGCCATCTTGCGAGGTGGCGAACGGCGACGGTCAGCAGCCGGTCGTCTTTGACTCCTTCAAGCCGAGAATGTTCATGACCCCAAGTTTCTGGCCTCTTCAGTTTCTCTAGTCAATTTTCAGTCAACATGGCCTGGGCGCACAATTTGTCCCGGGGAGTACAGTCCTTGTAGCTCAAAGGGCCATGTCATCCCCTGTCACTTCAAATGATTGGTCGTCAGGAGGGACTGGGGAATGCACCGCTGCCTGAGGGGGAGGGGGGGGTTCCCATGTTTCAAAGCAAACCCTAAACCCTGAACAGCAACCGTGCATTGCAAAAGTAAAGAAGCCACTTGGGCCACTTGCATGTGTGGTGCGAAGCGATAGAGAAAGTTGATTTGATGGCATTTGGGGCAAGGGCTTTGGCGGTCAACGCTGGTTTGGGGGGGCTTTGGGCTGAAAGCTGTAGTCTCTACCTGTTGGTGAGATCGGGTCCGTGCCTCCCTTTGTAGGCCCTGAACTCTAAATGCCGCTTGGGCATCAACGGAGATGTGCTATTCTTATACGTGGAAATCGCGTAAGGTTAGAGTTTAGAGAAATCACGGCCAGATTGCGAGTTTCTGCCGGGCCTAGCAAACAAGCAGCCGCCTCATCTCCATTTTTGCATCAGATTCGAAGCACCATTGTGAAAAAGCATTCTTCGTGAGTGTAAATGCAGAGATGCGCTTTTGCAGTATCTTCTCAAACTTCAAACCCAAAGCCAGGGCCTAAAGCACAATTCCCTAAAACCATCTGAAACCTCAACGAATCTCGGCAGACTCCAGATGCTGAATCCGAAGGCTATAACAAGGATGCGACGGCCGACAACATCAATATCTTCCACGGAAGAGAGATCCGACAAGTGCCGTTGAGCGCTACAGTTCGTGGTTGGGTGCGTGTTGCTCCACGTGCACATTGTGTCGCCTGTTTG